TTCATGTGACAAAGCTTTCCCTTCAAAGCTGCAACTACAGAGGGCCTCCAATATATCCATCTTAAGCCTTCCCCTCCAGAGACGGAGACATGCTTTGGGCTTAGATGCCATGTAAGGCTTTTGTTTGTTTTTGACTTGGCCAAGAACACTGCAGGGACAGGGGGCAGAGTATGAACAACCAAGACAGACCAGAGACAGAAGTTACCCTCTGTGTCCAGATGAACAGAAAGGAAGAACAGAAAAGTAGCCATTAATGTAACTTGGCTCCTTTTTCTCAAGTTTGCCCAAGAGAGGGACCAGTCTGTAGGAGGACAGAGGAGAGCCCCTCTAGGACAATGTTTCAAGTGGAAAGCACTGACAGCTAAAAGAGTTATAGGAAGCATGAAGCACAGAGGAAATAGGCACTTAAGTAGCTATTGCCAACTAGGGGATGAGCTCTGCCTATTTTCTGTAGCTCAGAACCTACATGGTGGTTGGCTACCTGAGTTAGGAATCCACTTTCTAGAACCCAAAGCCTCAAAAAATAGGACCCAGAAAATTCAGCCACTCCAAGATCAAAAAGTGAATTCTGAGTGTCTTAAAGAACATTGTTAAGTTTGAGCATGCTTCTGTGAAAGCCACCGACCTCTGTACATGCTTCTCTGCATCACTGCTAGGTCTCGGTCTGGTTCTGGTTCTGGTTCAGCAAGGCACTTCAAGAGATGGTAAATTATTCTTCCTCACTGCTCACTGCCAACAGACTGATGTCACAGGGTATTTTCAAAGCTGTGACAGTCACAGGATACAGTGATACAGATGTCCTCACAAGGATGGGACAAACTATGGAATTTTCCTAAAGTCTTGCAAAAAGCGAGCAGTGAGGTACCCAGCTAAACATTAAGTGGGGAATATCCTCCAAGAAACAAACAAACAAACAATAAAGTCCAAATAAAGGCCATAAAACCATTAGGAACAAACTTTCTTACCAAAACAGGCTTGCCTTATTAAGTTAGGCAAAAAAAAAAAACCCATAGCAAAGACCAACGGCTGAGCAGCAAGACCTTCTGTGTTAGTTCAGTGTATCCTCCTAACAAGAAGAGTTATACAAGACTTACTAATTGTGCTATTATGACACCATAAAACGTTGTGTTTGAAGTAGGATTTAGGCTTTTTTAAAAATTTAGTGCTAAGCAAAATAGTATTTTCCCTTATGTCCTAACAATGAATATAGAACAGGGAAGTATTTGTCTCTTCTTAGGAAAAGAAAACAGGTTTAAAACTACTATGGAAGGTGGTTGGGAGTGCAATGTTCCCTTGGTGTCCCATTTGACACTTTCAGTCAGTGATGCACAGCCTTAGACATACTTTACAATTCCTGAAGTGCTCCAAAGACCACCTAGGCTAAGATCATCCCTTGATCAATCAAATATAGTTTCTGATCTATTCCAAAAATCCAAAACAAAACAAAATTCACTAAATCTATCCTGGAAACTCTCTCTTTCTCCATGATCAGCCCAATGACCTCAAAACAGTGGGCAACATCACATCTCCCAAGGGAAAACTAAGTCCTCTTCTTTCTGGTCACTTCCTTCATACCATGCTTGTCTTGGTCTGGTATAATCTGGGATGAATGAAGTACTTTTAGGAGTAGAAGGGACCTTGCTGTTTTATATGGCACACGTATCTTTTCATGTACGTTAAATCTTCTTTGCACTACCTAATACGTGAAGGTTAGAAATCCATATCCTGGGGCTCCTCAAGATCGTGTTGAATCCAGCCCTTCTAGAGCTTAGCACAGGATTTCCATCTTCACAAAGCACAATGAAAATCTTACTAAAAAGATAACTGAAAGAAAAGTGGATCCTGTTTCCAAAACTATTTTGAAAGGAAACCAAAAAGTACATCTTTGTTTTCTTATTATGTTCATAAGTGAGTCCTAGATCTGACTCATGAATCTCTGCTTGGGGATGACCTGAATGATTACATTGATGCTCTGTAACTTTAGTCTGGCATTCTTTCCAATGAAAACTAAACTCAGTTCCTTTTGTCTTGTGTCATCTTAGGAAGTCAATTTCACTTTTTCTTTCAGTCTATTATGTTGAGTTAAAAGAAAGTCATGAGCCAGAATTCAGAAGTAGACATTTACATTCGTGTTTTATGAAAATCACAGTCAATAATTAGAAACATAAATGTCAATATATATGAAATAGATTTTCCTATCCAATGTGAATATTAATCTTAATTGGCATTCCAGAGGGGTTATAGTTACATGAGTAAGGTAATGAGTACATTTCCTATTGAGCATTGATACCTCCTCCTCTGTACATTTCCAATTCTTAAAAACAAAAAACCCAAAGGTTGAAAGGCTCTTAGATCTCATTGCAGAGCATTCTAAATTTGGTGAACTTGTTGGTATAGTTGTTCATCAGTATCTAGGTCCCTTGGGGAACTGGTTACAGAATCCTCTGAGAAGATCAGAATCCTCAGATGATAATGTTCCTTATTTAAAATGGCACAGTATTTGCGTATCTTGTACATATATGTTTTAATGTACTTTAAATCGTCATTGCACTACCTAATACAAATAAAACAGTATTACCTAGGTGTTATGCTGTATTGTTTAGGGAATTAATATAAGGAAAAAGTCTGTATATGTTCAGGATAGATGCATGCTTTAAACATTTTCCCATTTGACACTTTCAGTCACTGATGCACAGCCTTAGACATACTTTACAATTCCTGAAGTGCTCCAAAGACCACCTAGGCTAAGATCATCCCGTGACCAATCAAATATAGTTTCTGATCTATTCTGTTGATGGTGGAATCTGCAGCTTTGGAACTCACAGCTATGAATGGCTATGTATCATTTTTCTTGTTTTTCTTTCCACTTTACAAAATATAGGCAAACATTTACCCATTATCGAGGTACAACAGTATTTTACTTGGGGGAAAAATGGAACTGAGAGGCCAGAAGCCAAAATCTCATCACCAATTGAATCAACCATAGTAGGACCAATAGGAAAGAGGCAGGAGATTCAGTCATTTGTGTCTTCTTAAGAAAACTTAAATTCACCATTTCCTCTGCAAAAAGGCAGTTAGAAGTGCCTTCACTGTCAAACTGCTACTCCTTTCATCCCTCCCAACTCTTCATCAAGAAGCAGCCTATCCCTAGCAACCCTGAAGGGTGATGAGCAACCACAAGAAGTAAAGAAGCATAGCCAGTCAAATGAGCCAAGAATTGAGGGAGGAAGAGAAGAGGGGGAGGGAAGGAAAGGAGAAGGGAGCAAAGAATGGCCAATTGGGTCAGTGAGTTTGAGGGTAGAGTCATGAGGCAGGCCATGGGCAAGTTCTGGCAATCACAGACTGCTGTTTTACTCCCAGCTAGGCTACTTCCCCAAGTACCAGGATGAATGTAAGAATCTGACAAGACCATGTGGGTGGCCTAGCACCATGTTTTCTACCAGGGTAGAAAAAAAAGTCAACACAGGCAAGTCAAGAATTGGTGGGTGTCCAGCTCTTACTTCTTGGGTATTACTCTCTAGAGAGGACAAAAACCAGGCACATTTTCAAGAACTGGAATGACTGGGCATAATTTTTTATATTGGATTTTTAGCCGTCTGGATTTACTAATGAGGAAATTTTCATTCTGACTTGAGGGGATTCATAAGATTTGAAATGATTTAGGTTCAAGTTTGCACTGAGACTGAGCAGAAATAGACACTAGGGTAAACACCATCTGGCAAAGAACAGCAAGTTATTTCAGAACCTTCATGTGGATTTTAAAAGGAGAATGAGCAATTATACCTCCCTCCCCCAACTGGTCTTCCACTATCTCAAGCAGCAACAGGCACCTCCTTGTCGAAAGGCACACTTATCTGAGGATGTTGCACAGAGTTTTTGATTCAAAATCATTGACATTCAAGTCTGGAAGGGTGACCTGGGAAACTTTATGCTCATCTCAAAAGATGATTAACTAATAAGGCATCACCTGGAGAAGCTCACAATAAGTTCTTACATGTTTACTCTACATTCATATTTTACAAAGAGAGTTTTTCCTAGACTTCAAGTTCCTGAAAAGAGGAGATGGATCGGGCTTACCTCAAAGGTGTTCTACTACTTGAGTCACATTCCTAGCCATTTTTGCTTTCATTATTTTCAAACATGACCTCTCTTTTTCCCAGGGCCAACCAGGACCATGATCCCACTAATTAGGTTTCCTGCATCAACTAGGATGACAAGTATATGCTACCATGAACTCAGCTTTTATTAGTTAAACTGGAATCTTACAACCTTTCTTGCCTGGGTTAGCCTCAAGTTATGATCCTTTCAATCTTTACCTTCCAAATAGCTAAGATAATAGGCATGATCCACCATACTTGGCTTGCACCTGTTTTAAAACTGGAAAATACCCTGAATCACAAGCATTTAAAATTATTTAAAGAAAAATTTTACACTAAGATTTTACTGAAGCACTGACTAATGTGAAATACAATATGCAATAAAGCATCTTTTAGTTTGTTATCCAGTTTTCACTAATCATGACTTTCTAACTTGATGCTGAATTCTGTAAGTCCTCCAACATTTACAAAAAAACTAAAATAATCTTGATTATTTTAGTGCTTATAGGATGCTAAATATCTGGCTAGTGGGGCACATCTAGATAGCTGCAGTATGCTGATTCAGTGAGGGGTTTATCCAAAGAAACATCACTTTAATTAATTGCCTTTGCCAAAAGCATCCAGGGGCTACAGCTGAAATTCAAAGTGCAACTATTAGCTGTAATTGAGCAAGTATACATTTTTCTAGTTAGCACTCATATGGCTAACCTTGTCTTTTGCTCAGGGCTATCTGGTTCTTTAAAAGCTACTTTGCATGTGGCACAAGAACTCACTGGTAAAGGTGGTTTTATACTAGTAGAGATGTTACCAAATATCCAAAGCAATCAAAAGTATTTTAGAGAGAATAAATCTCTTCAAACTACCCCCATGCAAATTGAGACGCATACTAGAACCCAGTCGTACCTTCGTGACAGACAGTTCCTTGGATTTAGATTCAAACAGGTGCTCCAGTCTGGAAGTATCCACCTTAATTGGTTCCAGTTTCGACCACAGGAATTCTCTGCAATGGCGGTTGTTCTTACAAGGCCATTCAAAGGGCCGGACTTCATTCCAGAACAGACGGATAGTCTTCTTTTTCTTAGTAAATGCAGGCTGACCCCTCGGTACCTGGGACCACCCTAAGCCCTGAGGAGCACTGAACACTGGAGGAGGAGGAGCCAATAAATTACTGGGGACTGGAGGGGGAGGCACACTGTCCAACAGGGGTGGAGGGGGTGGGGGTGGCAAACCCAGAAAGATGGGTGGGGGAGGGGGAGGGGGCCCAGGAGCTTCCCTAGGACCCAGGTCCATGTCCAGGACATCGACGTCATCTTCCTCCCCTAGGTCGGTGAAATCCATGTCTTGAATTCTGAGCTCCCTTGGATTGGCCATGAGCTGGTCCCAGATGTAGTCAGATTCTGTCTTCAGTTGTGCAGGTGCCGTTTCTGGGCTCTTGTCATTGGACTCTGCATCAGGAGAGAGAGAACCTCTTCCCAAGTCCCCGTTGTTGAATTTCTCAGCAAATGCTTTCACACTGCCCCGGTTGTCCAAGCAGCCCACATCCACCCTCCTAACGCTTTCCTCTGGGGCTTGAGAGTTGGCCTGCAGTGTGGATATCCTGCTGGAGAGGCTGGCCACTGCCTCCGCCTCCTGCTCTGTCCTCCCAGTCTCATCCTTCTCCTCATCGTCGGTAGACTTTCTGTTATGGGCATACAGCATATCCAGCATGAACCGTTTGTTGGTGAGGATGTCGCCACACTGTCCATTTACACCTGCATCCTGAAGGCCTGTGGACCACAAACCTGAAAGCACACAGGGCAGAAGAAGTAAGAAAGTTCAAGATGGGTTCATGTCTATGAGAAAACACAATAAGAAGGCTGGGCACATACAAGTGATTTCAGAGAAGACACTAAAACAAAGTAATCAAAGCAAAAGGTGGTCATGGTGATGACCTACCTGCTCCAGGACCCAAGACTCTTCCAGATGCAACATTGCTCCTGGTCATGGCAGCTAGTCAGAACCCACCCAGACATAGGTAGCCAGGAAACTGTGTCCTAACTATATAGGAACAATAGAAGAGTAACAGCTCTCTGACCCAGGGCAGGTTTTGGAGCAACTGTATGGTTACCTGTCTCTGCCCAGATTGTGATTGGACATCACACAGTCCAGGTCATAAGTTGTACTTTAAGTCCCTGCCTCCTTTGTCTCAAGTGGGCTTATTGCTTAGCAGTCCCCACCCCCTCTCCTTTCCTTCCCATGCTTTCCAAGCCAAAGCCTTGTTTTCTCATTCAGCAGCTTAACAGACCAAGTCAGAAGAGATCTTCTACAGTCTCTGCTCTACCATGAGCCTCTCACTAGCAGCTGAATCCCAGGACACAGTCCATCTCCTGTGACTACTCACACACTGTCCCTCAACAACTCTGTGTCTGCATCAAGGAACCAATCCAAGGATTCTCTGTTCTGAATCTCCCAAGCTCCTCCCACTAGATCCTTTCTCCTGATACAGAAACAGGTGTAATAATACATCTCCATCTATAATAAAACTTTTCTCCTTTCCTTTAATGCATATAATTGCTTCCAAGAATTGTTTGCCCAGTGTGTCTGATTTCTCTCTTTATTCTTTCCACAACTAAGGTAACTGGTGCTTTTGCTCTCAATGAATTTCAAAACTACTCCTTTCACTGGTGCTGATAACTCATGCCTATAATCCTAGCTATTTAGGAAGCTGATTACCTGAGGACCACAGTTCATAACCAACCCAAGTAGGAAAGTTATGAGACTCATCTTCAATGAACCAGCAAAAAAGCTGGAAGTGGAGTGGTGGCTCAACTTCTAGAGTACCAAAATAAACTCCAGGCCTAGGCCTGAGTCAAGCCCCAGTACCAACACATACGTTATACAATTGTTCCTTTCTTGTCACACTACACTTAGCCCATCATTCTTTCACATATACCCTTCCAGAATACAATACTTACCTGCTTTGGTTGCTTCTTTTTGCCTCTTCCTTCCCAGTCTCCTTTGCTAGATAATCCTTATCTTCACACTTTTAATGACTTTGGACCTCATCTTTCCATTTACCAGCCCTTTGTGGTAGTCACCACCTCATCTAGACTCAGGGCTTTCATTACCATCCATCAACAGGTCTTCTGCCCCACCCCTTACCAAAGCTGTTTATGCTCCAGGAGGTTTCTTTCTCAGCCATGGCAACTTGTCCCATCTTGCTGCCAATACCATTTCTTGACTTCTGTTTTTTTCATCCTCACCTCCAATGTAGCAAGGCATCTTGTTGACTAGAGCTTTATGCTGGTCCCAAATTTTTCTGGCTTTTCCTTGCCTATTCTACGTCCTTCATTTATGTCTTTTTTTTTTCCTTTGGTCAGTCGTAGGGCTTGAACTCTAGGCCTGGGCACAATGTCCCTGAGCTCTTCAGCTCAAGGTGAATGCTCTATCACTTGAGCCACAATGCCACTTCTGGTTTTCTGGTGATTAATTGGAGAAAGGAGTCTCAGAGACTTTCCTGCCCGGGTTGCCTTTGAACCTCAATCCTTAGATCTTAGCTTCCTGAGTAGTTAGGATTATAGACATGAGCCACCAGCACCTGGCCTTCATTTACGTCTTTTAAAAAATCATTTTATTGTAGTCTACTTTGTCCTTTGGAATTTCTTTTGCTCAATAATCTACTTTATCTTATATGACTATTATTTTTGTTTATAACATGTATCTCTTTTTAGTTTTCTAATTTTTTTATTTTAAAGATACTTACAGAGGGGTTACAGTTACATGAGTAAGGTAATGAGTACATAACATGCATCTTTTCTCAATTTTTAACTTTCAATCTTATATCATTATGTTTGTAACGAGTTTTGTTGTGTAAAGAGTATGTAATTACTTTTTTGTTTCTACTTCACTTTGGCAGTTGTTTTCTTAATGTAAAGGAACATTGAACCGTTAGGGTTTACATCTGCCATTTTACTTATCTTGTTCCTTGGTTTCAGTTCCTGTTCCTCCTCTCTTAGTTCCCTGTGGGTTACTTAAACATTTCTTAGAAACTCATTCTGATTTCAATAGTGTTTCTAATTCTATGACTTCCTACTGTTGGTTTTAGTGATTAGGGATTACAACCTACTAATTTCCCCACATCAAACATTGTTTTGACCCTGTCATTTTTGTCTCCTCTTTCTTAGATTCCCACCAGTCTAAAAGTGACCAAAAGGGCTCTATTTTCCACATGTATTTCTTCTCTGTTCTGTTTAGCTCACTGAATATTTCCTTTGTTGTCTTTATTACTGAGCACTAAGTTTATCAGTAAGAACTTTGCTTTATTATATTTTTTCAGTTCTATCAGTATGTATTTGCTTTGTTATATTTTTTAGTTCTATTAATTTCCCTTTGGATTTTTAAAAGTATTTTTTTTATTTCTCTGATATTTTTTCCCTGTGTTTCCTGAATTCGTAAAGCAACATTATAATGGCTGCTTCAAAATTTTTGTCACACTGGGCGCCAGTGGCTCATGCCTGTAATCCTAGCTACTCAGGAAGCTGAGATCTGAGGATCATGGATCAAAGCCAGCCGGGGCATCTGTGAGACTCTTACCTCCAATAAACCACAAGAAAAACCAGTAGTGGCACTGTGGCTCAAGTGGTAGCGTGTTAGCCTTGAGCTGAAGAGCTGAAGGACAGTGCCCAGGCCCAGAGTTCAAGCCCCACGACCAACAGAAAAAAAAAATCTTTGTCATGTAATTCCAACATCTAGAGTATCTCCCTGGCATCTGTTGATTGTCTTTTCCTATTCAAGTTATGATTGTACCAGTTCTTGCTAAGTTACGTGATTTTCAATTTTGTTTTAGATATTTTGAGTATTATTTTCTAGCCTTTGGATCCTACTTAATCTCTTTTAACAGGTAGTCATCCTTAACAGGTAGGAGTGGCATGAAGGACTTGATAGAGGTAAATATTCAGCAACCTGATGTGTACTATTACCACCTCAGCTAGAGTGTTTGTTGCATATGAGGTGAGAAGTTCATTTCCATTATTGGCATCTTCCTGGGAAAAGTAGTCTACTGACTTAGATGGCATCTTTGCCTCCAATGGGAGATAGCAGCTCAGAGCCCCATTTGACTCTAGGCTAGGGAAAACAGGGCTAACTAGCTCTGGCTCCACAAATATTTTTACCTTATTTCTGACAGATGAGGATAGAGGCAAAACTTGCAACACCTATCTGAGAAGGTGGCTAGACATCTCTTCATTCATTTATTCACTGATAATTTAGTGAAATCCTATTATGTTTGGGACACATAACTAAGAAGTGAGGAACTTGCAATGAAAAAGACAGGTATCTCCATCCTTATCAAGCGGATACTTTAGAGTCACCAAAGGACAATAATACACAGTGTATCGATTCTAGGATAAAGCTTCTCACATGAATGCCACAGAGAGAAACATGAAACAAAAATAAAACTACCCAACTGGAAAAAGTTGAGTCTCTTTCAAGGTCTACAAACCCATGTGTTAGTAACAGGTAAAGTCACTGGAAATGAGATTGGGAATGGTTTTAGTTGTCTTCAAAGTTCCTCTGTAATTTAACTGAGAATATTTTGAAAAGCAAAATATATTATGGCCAAACTTCCCTGACTGGGCTCCTAAAGGTGCTTGTGAGTATTGAGATTTGTGTGGAACCCATAATCTACACCAAGTAACATGAGAATGAAGCAAAAAAGTCTTTGCTAAGCCCCAATTCCTGAGTCTGTACACTTGGACAACACCCACATCGGTCGAAAGTCAATGGTCTTACACTGGGAACCGAGTCTCCATTTTTGGAAAGTTGTCCTTATTTGGAAGAATATTGCATAAACTGATCCAAGAAAGTTCTGTCTCTGGTCTTATTTTCACTAATCCAACTTGCTGATATGTTCTGATCCTGCTAAACACAGATATGATGGATTCCTGATACTATTTATAATGCATAAACTATTTTTAAAAGACTAAGCTGTTCAAGTAAGATGTTACCTTACATCCTGTACAATGCCATAATTCCATTAAATGTGAACAATACAGATAGGATTTTAAGAGACTGTAATTTGATCTTTTTAAGAAAGTAAATCATTAGTATATGTAACAGTAAATTCTCAGTGCAATCATTTCTGATATTTCAGTCATTTCTTATTGCATTAAAGTGACTGGTAATAGAATAAAAACATGGTAGTAAATTCTAACTTGGAAAAATGGAAATAGTAACTACTTTAAGCTCAGCCAGATAGGCTGATAGGTCTATAAGAGACAGTATGGTTCATTCAATTGGACCTAGCAAGCCATGAAAGGGTCATGGCTCTTACTGGAAAGGCATTGTGAAGCTTTGGGAGTTGAATGTGTCCCTTTGCATGTAGCTTAAAAAGTCTAGCCCTTAAACTGTGACTTCATGGTGAGGAGTGTGGCCTGAGGAAGGGTGCATGCTTGTTGATCTATATCTCAACAGCATGCAAGTTACTGCCAGGATAACTAAACTTTGTGGTGTCCCAGATGGTACACATGATGTACAATTTCTATAACTTTCAGTGGTACCTCCCTTCATTCAGGTAAGATCCTCTGCAGCCAAACCCACAATCTAGCATTCTATTTAGTCCCCTTATAAGTGAACTGAATAAATATCAGGTGTTAATTCTGAAAAAAACAAAAACAAAAACACAATTCCACAAAGGAAAGCATGCACACATCCTACTAAAAGAGTGATCCTGAGTATAATGAGGGAAACTACTTCCATTCAGTCTAGAATATCAAATCCACCACTATGAAATGAGCCGTGTTTGAATGGAACATTTCATCTCATTTAAAATGAGTTCCTTTTGGAAAGGTCCAATTGTCATGGTTTAAACAACTGAGAATGATCCATGTAGTTCCAATGATTGTGTGTTTCTAAACTTAAGTCAGGAACTTAAAAAGGCTAGTTATTACAAATGATGGAACAACTAGAAGGAAACAAGGATTTTTTTTTTTATATATAGCTGTCTTATGGGAAGCTCTCCATTACTGGGAGTCTTGTTGCTACAGGCAAAAGGCTTGGGGGCCACCTTTCTATGAGGTAGAAAACTGCCGGGTGGCTGTCACTGTGGCCACATTCCACATCCCCAGACAATGGCTGGGGGAGAGAGCTGCTGCCACAGCAGGGCAGCCTAAGCCCTAGAGTGAACCCAGTCCTCTGCCTAGGGCTCACTGGAATGTGCTGACTGAAAAAAGGGTTTATTTACCAGTTGCCCTGTCCCTGGAGGGCTTGTCCTCCTTCTCCTCCCTCTCCAATGTGCTGCTGGAGGATGAGATGCTGGAGGCGGAACAGTTGTCCCTCTCGTTCACCTCCTCGTTTTGTCTCTCTTTCTCACTGAGGGAGGATCTTCTTTCTGGCTCTGGCTCCAGTGCCCGCTCCCCTTCGCTCTCTGCTCCCCCTGGGGCCAAGGCTATGTCCTGGCTGGCTTCATCTGCAACCTGCCCCGCCTCTGCCTCCGGTTCAGGCTCAGGATCCCCAGGACTCACTGGTAGAGACAAGAGTAGAGATTATATTGACAACAGGGATTTCTTGGGGGGTTCTGTAAAAGGTAAGCATGGATTTGAGGTTGATTTCTCTACACTGCTCGGTGGTGTGCAGAAGTCTAAAGATGGCCCTGGTTATTCATTCAAATACTAATGGAAGTTCCTTTGTGAAGGGATTGTGCAGATGGCAACAGAAGTACTACGTCAGCTGACTTTAAAATATGGACATTGAATTAGGTGGGGCTCCATTTAATCAAACAAGCCAATTTTTATGGTGGTACTGGGATTTGAATTCAGGACCTCATATTTGCAAGGTAGGAGCTCTACCATGTGAGCCACTCTGCCATTCCTTTCTCATTCGTTAATTTTGTGTAGCCCTCAGTTTAAACCCAGGCCAGTTTGAAGTACAATCACCTACTTGAGCTTCTCTACAGAGCTGGGATGGCAGGTACCACCACCACCACACTCAGTCATTGGTGATGGAGGTTCATGAAGTTTTTCCTCCAGGCTGGCCTCAAAACAAGATTCCTGATCTCTACCTACTCAATAGCTAGGATTGCGAGCATAAGCCATCAAGTTTGCTCATACAAGTTTTTTTTTTGGGGGGGGGGCTGGTTGTGGGGCCTGAACTCTGGGTCTGGGCGCTGTCCCTCAGCTCTTCAGCTCAAGGCTAGCGCTCTACCACTTGAGCCACAGCGCCATTTCTGGCTTTTTTCTTTTTGCTTATGTGGAGCTGAGGAATCGAACCCAGGGCCTCAGGCATGCAAGACAAGTACTCTACCACTGAGCCACCTTCCCAGCCCAAGTTTTTTTTTTTTTTTTTTTAAATCAGGTAGGTAGGTAAGGTAGGTAGGTAGGTAGGTAGGTAGACAGACAGACAGACAGACAGACAGACAGACAGACAGACAGATAGATAGATAGATAGATAGATAGAAGACAGATCAATCGATCAGAGATAGATAGATAGATAGATAGATAGATAGATAGAAGATAGATCAGAGAGAGAGAGAGAAAGAGAGAGAGAGAGAGAGAATTTGGCAGTCCTGGGGTAATTCTCCACATTTGCTGGGTACCAGTGGCTATATCTATAATTCTAGTTGCTCAAGAAGCTGAGACCCAGAGATTGTGTTTGAAGCCAGCCCAAGCAGAAAAGTTTACAAGACTCCAACTCCAACAAAACTAGCAAAGACTAGGCTCAAAATGTGGCTCAAGTGGTAGACTCTCAGCTGAGTAAGCAAGCTAACCAAGTTGAGGTCCTAAGTTCAAATTCTAGTATTGGCAAAAAAAGAAAACAGAAATCAGAGATGTCCAGTTAGCAACAGAATAGGAAATCTGAGAGTTTCATAGCAGGAGAAGGTTTCCACACATTTTCCTGGCTTTGAAGATGGATAAGGCCATGTGACAGAAATGTAGGTGGCCTTTGGAAACCGAGAAGGAATCCTGCTGACAGCCAACAAGAAACAGACACTAAGTTCGTATGTACAAACAACTAGGTTCTGCCCACATCGTGAGTGAGCCTGGAAGTAGACTCTTCCATGGCCTCCTGATCACAGCCCACCTGGCCACAAGTCTGGTTTGGGCCTCATGACATCAAGGGTCAAGGACCCAGTTGAGCCACGCTTGACTTCTGACCTAGGAAAACTGGGAAACAATAAATGGGAGCTGTTTTCAATCACTACATTTGTGGTAACTTGTTATACAGCAATAAAAAAACGAGTATGTGATCCTTTTGCCTCTTTAGGAAATGAGAACACAATCCTCAGTGAGTCAAACTGAGAAGCAGGAATGGTCTAATGCTTTCCAAAATTAGTGGCTAAACCATTGAGACCTATTACCCTTTGCTTGGATTATGATTGCTCATAATATGGAGTTAGTCTGTGATCTGAAAAACTATTCAAAAGACTCACAGGCACAGGAGTCAAGACTGCAGATTTGATGCTTGCCCTGAGGCTAAATGCTCCCATTCTCACCTATGTGTTGCTCCAGGAAAACAGAGAAATAGCTCAGTCTGTCTTATGCATTTTTTGTTGTTTTGTTTTTGCTGTGAAAGTCTCTGAGTTATAAGTTTGGGATAGAAAAATGAGAATGCAAAATCCTCCATGTCTGCTGATGTATGTACAGGCCAGAAGAGGACAGATCACTCCTGCAAGTGTTACATTCATGCTGGGCAAGGCCACAATGCTGGAATCCTAGCACTGTGCTCAGGTCCTAGGCATACATTGCTCAAAGTGATGGAGGAGTTCAAGTCAGGAGTTCAAGTCAGATCAGGAGCTGCAATGGGCCTATTTAAACCCTATAATCACAAGCAGATCAGGCAGCTCTCTCTGTCTGCAGTGGCTCAGGCATGAAGATGAAGTATATGGAGATTGCCTCTGAGCCCCTCAGTAAGACTAGAGCTTTACCACATAGAAGCAAACCTCAGGCCTCACTGGGCCACGTGCCCAGCTGTCCCCAGTTTCCCAGCAAGAAGTCATTCTGCTTGGACTCACTGAGGGCAGCCTCACACCCCATCTACTCTCAGGCTGCCTTCCTCTGAGAAAAAAGTAGGAAGATAAAGAAGGAAGAAAGCAATGCAGAGGATGAACACCCTTCTTTCCTTGTGGTCCTACATAGTTTTTAACCTCTACATACTAGAAACCTTGGTGGGAAGCCCCAGTGATTTTCTGGTAGGACTTGGGGGCAAGGGGTGAAGAACAGAGGTCCTTCCTTTTGCCTATCTGGAGTTTAATTTCACATTGTGCATCTTCCCTGGGGACTCTAACTTAGACAAGAGCTCACTTCTGGAGACTGTGTGTATTAGGAGGTGGTGGTGTTGTTATAGCAAAGGCCTTCGGCCCCCTAAGGACTATCCCTAGAGTGAGGGTTTTAGGAACAGGTGATGTAAGCTCACAGTTTCCAGACAAAGATGCCAGGGCTAGCAGTACCAGGAAGACGCTAAAGTCCACATGCCTGAGAATGAGCATGTCACGTGCTTTTCCTTACAAACAAAAACTGGGGAAGATTAAGCAAGCCTTTCAGAAAAGTTCCCTTTGTGTAGAAGCAATTTTTAGGGCAATTTCTTTTTCATTTGATAATACAGTATTTAGTAAAGAGATACAAAACCCCATTAGCTTTACAAGCATAGCAAAAGCAGAGCTTGAGCGATGGCAGTGTCATCACTGGGTTGACAGAAAGCATATGTGTTTGCATATACTTATTTCAGAATAGCCACATCAAAATGAAAATGTGAGTCCGACAGCCTAGCATGTGGCACACATGTGACTTTTCATGGGCAAGCATCTGAAGAACACTGGCAAGGGTGCTCTCAGTGGCTTCATTGCAGGCAGGAAGGGACAAGACTACTCACCACCTGAGGACTCTAAACAGGCAAGTAGGGAGGATCCATGACTGATGGCTGCTGGACTTCAGCCCACCATGGATCCCCCACCTTTCTCATTCCACTTAACACACAGGACTCAGACAATAATTTCTTCCCCCCTGCCTTGCCCCAAACCGGACAGGCCAAGGGTTTCCTATACAGGTGTGCTAATGAATTGATGAGTTTTGGAAAAGGACTTACTCTTGGGAACTGACTATTCAACATCATCTCAAAATGGTAGTGTGTAATTTCAAGGAACTGGACATGTAAGTCTATGACTCCATACACTTGATTTCTTTTTCTCTAACTGCTAGGGAGAGGGTGGTCTCCAGTGTCTGTAGGACACTGCAGCATATGAGGTGGTCGTAATGATAAACAGATGAAATAAATGATCACATGCATTCAAGTCAAGCAAAATAAGTAGAGTGACAGTGAAGGTGATCAGCAAGGGCAAACAGAGATAGTAGCATGTTACTACTAGCATGTTGCTAAGACAACACCGATGTCCTCACACTCATATACCTATGTCTCTGCCTTAGAAGAGCTTGCCATGTGGAAAGAACACAAGACACAAAGCCCTATCTGAGCCAGGCATGATGGTTCATGCTTGTAATCACAGCTACTTAGAAGGCAGACAGGCAGGAGGATCATGAGTTCAAGCTCATCCCAGACAAGTTAGGGAGACCTTATCTCAAAAACAAAATAGAAACAAAAGAGCTAGGGTGTGGTTCAAGTGGTAGAGCATTTGTTTGGTCTGCAGAAGGCCCTGAGTCCAAAGCCCTATAACAAAAAACAAACTCAACAAAAATAAAGCCAACAGCAACAATGCATCGGCAGGGATCATGCAGGCTACCAATGGAAGGCACTGGATACGGTGACAGGCAGACCTGCAGGGAAGAGCCAGGCTTCACAGTAGAGCCCTTCTTTAGTTGGCTTAATTTAATACAGGTACAAGGACAAGAACAAAAAGTTCCCAGATGACCTCACTGTACCTTCTTCTCCTATGTGAGGGCCCCCAGCATGACCCTGGGGCAAGATTGGCTCCCAAAATTCCTATCAGTTCTGAACAATAGGAAGTACCAGAATAGCTCTGAGATTACAATAATGTTCTGGAATGTTCTTCCTCCTCTTTCCTATTCCCTTTTATTAGGACTTTTCTTACCAATACTCTTTTACATACACACACACACACACACACACACACACACACACACACACACACACACACACACACACACAATTTCTTTTGAGTTTCTCTTTCTAAACCAGGCTCTATGGCTGTGGCTCTATGGACATATTTTGGAATTCCCAGGACACAGAAGAAACCATGTAACTCTGTTGTTTAAGGAAAGCTAAGATCTCTGTCAATGTGTAGGGGAAAAACAAGGTTTACAACACTTGGTTTCTACTGAACCCAATAGTAAATAAACCTTTCTCCAGCCCAACAATGGTGTCACACAAAGCAGTGCTCTAAAGAGACCTTACTCTGGCATCATGGAGGCTCCAGTGGGACAGAAAGAAGAAACCCTGAACACCTGGCCAATACCTTTGCCTGGCAAAGGCAGCTGAGCCCAACCACCCGTGGACATAAGGTCATCTCATCCTATTAGCTCCCATCATTCACAATATAAAAACATTTATCAA